GGACGGTGAAATCGCCGTGTCCTCAGTGACCAACGCAAGCAAGAAAATCGCATTGCACCTTGCGTATCGCACAATAAAAATCAATAACATACGAGAAATAATATCTTGCAAGTTGCAACGCGGAGGAAAGTCATAACTAGAAGCGACTCGCGTATAAATCGTCTCCCTCGACCAAAATCTCTCCGTCGCGGGATCCTCTCGGGATCTCGCCGGTAGATTTTTTTTCTTCTCGTCGCATCCCGATAAAAAGGCAGAGGGAGAGGTGCGAAGGTGAAGAAGACGGAGAGAGAAATATAGAGAGCATTCGAATCTCCTCGATCCGCCTATAGAAGCGTTGGACAAAGCGACAGCGAGCACTAAAATTAGCGGCGAACAATGCACGCGGCTGGATTCAGACAGAGTTAAGTGTCACTGCTCCCTCCCCGCCCTGCCGTCCCTTCGTCGTGTCCCGCTCTCGTCGTGTTCGCCGGCGACTCGTCTTCCCCGATTTCGCCCGTGCTCTCGCTGCGCTTTTCTTCTCCCGCGTTCTATCTTTATTTTTCCCACCCCGCCTCCGTGTTCCCTTTTTCTTATGATCGGAGGACGTACGCGGCGAATTCGCGATTCGGCAATATCGGTGTCGCGACGCCGAAGAACCGACTCTTCCGAATTGTCGCGCGTTACCGCTCCTCGTCGCTCCCGTGCGCGATGCGTGCCGACGTCGCACGCGTCTATCTATAGCGACGAGGCACGATCGGCGTGAGCGCAGTTAGCGCGCGATGAACGCTCGCTCTCGCTGTCGTCGATCCACTTCTTCTTCGCTTATTGCCCATTCTGTCCCTCCTTCTCCTCTTATTGTTAGACGCCGCTTTCCCGCCTCCCCCCCCCCCATCATTTCATTTTCTCACCGGACCAATTTATTTTTGCGCCTCCAATTCTCACGTTGAATTTCGACGGGGCAGTTTTTAATTTCCGACCCGAGTCTCGGTTTGTGAATTATTTGGACGAAAGGCAGAGGAGAGCCCTCCATTACGAGGTGGGATTCTAATACGAGACATTATAGGTATGGTAGGTTTTCAACGTCCAAACTCAATCACAAATCCCTCTTTTCGCAACGATTACGCGATCCAACGATCACTTTTCCACTGGTCGGACTTCACTCCAAGGGTAAAAAAAAATGCACGGTGGAATCAACAGACGATGTCTAGTAATTTGGCAGAAACCCCTGCTATCTCATATTAGGAGCCTGTCCCATAATAGGGGGACTTTCTTCCACGTGTTCCGATGTGAAACGAAGCGCGTTAACTCTTATTTAATTAATATATACAGTCATTTTTTATGATATGCTTCGTTGTTACACAATTACGCGAGTTATTTCTGTGCGGCTGTAAACACATTTGAGAACTGCTGGAGAGCTTCTGAATCAATCGGCTTTCGCGATCGGCACTGTCGTTAACTATTAACAAAATGACAGAAAGAAGTGACTTTCCAGCTCGCGAGTTACTCTTCCTATGTTATTTTCAACTACCCGTTCGTTAATAATTGATTTTACACACGACACTCCAATAAACGCCGAGATAAATTAACGCTATTGATAAGTGTGTTGGCAGAAGCATCAATAATGCCCCTCGATAATCCGATAGCTCCGCGAAAATATTTAATACACCGTGCAGCGCGGTTCTTCATAAATTATTGTATCCGTGAACTGTATTCGCAATGTACGCCGCTACGTCAGCCCTTGAAATGTTTATAACATTGAAAAACATTCCTTGCAATGTCGCTTCCAAAACATATAGGTACTCGCGCGGTTTATTGCGGCGGTAAAACGCAGCGGCCGCAAAAATATTATGACGCGAGGGCTGTTTAACAAGCACTTGGAATGGAGCAGAAAAACAGCTCATATCTCTTTATAATTATTATTATTTTTCGACACAAGCGTTTTTTTATATCAGTGCATTGCACCTACGCTCGCGAAAGATCATATCCCACTGAATTTTGTTAAGCGATACGAAAGAAATTAAAAATCTCGAACATCTCCTTTTCAAAAATCACGTACACGGAGAGAATTTTCTCTCAAAATGTATTTTGAAAATCATGTAATCGTGGAACGACACGGTATTTCGAAGAATTTTATGAGAATTTTCTGAAATTTTACCTCACATTTTACTAGTAAAATTATACTTACAATTAGTACACATTTCACTAGTAAAATGTGTGGTAAAATTTCAGAAAATTCTCATAAAGTTTAAAATGCCATGTTGCCCCACGATTACACGATTTTCGGAGTAAATCTTGAGAGAAAATTCTCTCCGTGCAGTTATTTCGTTCGCAGTACTTACAGTTAGTCAAAGAACTAACACACTGTGAAAAATTAATGTCTTCCGGTGAATCAAATTGAAACTTTACGTGTTCATAGAAGGGCGGGATTTTTCATTTAATATATGACGTCTGTGTTGCGATGGCCATCTGCAATGCATTCCTACAACTTTTCTGGAAACGACCCGCACGTATATCACTTCTCGTGCACGAAATGTGATCTGCTCATCAAACGCCGACTATTTTAAAGCTCACCGAACCGGTAATTAATCAGGCATAACCCGAGTCAAAATTTTGAATTGAAGATTTAAATTTTTAGAATTAAAGATTCAAGGAAGAAGCAAAAATATAATGTTATCAAAGTATGTTATCGCTGGTCTACAGATCAGCTAAGTGGGTGTAAATTATCCTCAAAAGTGTCAAGACAGTAGCAAAATTTCGGGAGAGCTCGACAATCGTCAAGACTCTCAGACACAATATCACATTTCAGTTATCCGAGCGAATAAACATGCGGGGGAGCGCGATAAGGGGGAGCAGGTGGACCGAAAGTTTTTGCGTAGCGCGAGTGTTGAGAACGGTCCACGGAGAATTATCGGGGGGTGCGCGCGGTGGGGTAGGTGAGGAATCAACGCAGGTAGGGGGGGGGGCGCGGGGGGGCACGGAAAGTTTAGAGTTCAATTTGCCGTAAAATTATTGACGGAAGTCGAAGCGAGCACAAATCATAACGCTCCGTGAACCCGTACTGCGGGAATACCCCGCGAATCCCCTGGCTCTTGTCGACCCCACGCGGCCTTCTACACCCCACACCCACCCTCTGTCGCTTTTCTTCCCCCCTCGTCCGTCTACTCTTCCCAAGTCTGACTAGTTGAAGAACATTCGATCTGCCTACATCACTCAAATGACTCGTCCCGGCTTGACTCGCGTCTGTGTACGCGTTTGTGCACTCGGGGCTACACGTGTATTCGAATCGGGCGAATCTATCCTCCGGATTATCCGCCGTGAAATTGTTCAATTTACCTCCCGTTTTCAACAGCAGGCCGTCTATTTTGTCGCTCTGCATTTTGGAGACGAATTCTTGCATACGTATGCAATTATAAAATGTAATTACGTTAAGCAATTTTTGTGACAAACGTGATCGAGACACGACCTCGGTGAGGAGTAAATCGCAGGCTAGTGTTCTTTTTTTGTGTGTCAACTTTTCGTCGAGATTATGTAAACGTCGATACGTATAATTTACGATTGGAATGGATAATAACACAATTTAATAATGATGCAGTCGGGAAGAAACAAGAGCTATTTGAGTTACGAAAAGATTTCTTATTAGACGCCGAAAGTGGCACTTTCGGCCCTGAAATTCGTGCTTTGCAGCAACAGAAGAGAGGGATCGCCGTGCGCGCGCGCCTAGACTTTGACTGTTTATCCACCGGCTTTTATGTCGGATTTATGAGGAGGCAAATGGAAGAAAAACATGACTGGCACGTGTTTATTGTCAACGTGCGCAACTCCGCCATTGTACCGCGCCCCGGCCTGCTAGTATTTTCTTCTCCGGCCATATCTTCTAGCACTTTTTCTTCGCTTCTCCGCCTCATTCGACAACGTCCAACGCTACTTCTCACGTTACTCCGGAGAGCTTAGCGCTCGTAGACATACGACACGTAAGGGTATAATGCAGTACTCAGCCAGTTATCGCCATATGTGATGTTGCACGAAACGCGACTTTGTCATGCATGGGCCATTTTCCTACCGCGGCGCCACGGCGGACACCCGATCAGTTTTACGAACAAGGAGCGTATCCGCGAGTCTTCAGCGAGACGGAAAAACTAGAGTGTATATTAAATTTATAGAGAAACGATCCGAATAGAGACGAAATTTCGTTTTAAATTGCCGGATACACGTTCACCATTGTACAAACGTAACTTATATACGAGACAGCATACGCAATAATATTTTTGTACAATTTGAATGTAATTATATAATTATTATAAAATGTACACAGGGACTTCGAAATGTTTCCCCTTGGCCTTACTCTTGACCGAATTAGCCTCGCGAAGCTTTATGCCCGTACTCTAAAATAATCATATCAAATTAAGTGCGACAATAATTTGACACTGGACACTCGCCCAATTCGTATTTGACTACCCGTGGAATCGTATTAAGATAACACGGGAACCTCGAACACGATGAAGAAACATTAGGTACGACCAGCACACGTGTGACGATCGTGATGGCGAAATTGTCGTTACAACTGCCATGGCCGATGGCGCGGCGGAGCGAAGAATGCCGGGTATATCGATTTGAGCTCAATAAAAAAGTCATTTGAGAACTGCAAAAGCGCCGTATTGGCTGTAAAACGTTTGGCGGGTGATAACATCCAGCCGATGGTTCGCGAACGGACGACCGTCGGTGGTGGCGGCGGCGGAGACGGTGGTGGTGGCGGCGATGGTGGTGGTGGTGGTGTTGGCGGTGGTGGGTGGTTTCCTGTCTGGTTGGCTGACTAGGTGGATCGCGTTTCTCCTTTCCTTTCCTTTCGGCCTCCGTTCCTTTCTCCTCCGCGAGATCAGAGGGATGGCATGGAATGGGCATGAGAATAAGGCGTGGGGTGGGGACAGGAGAGACAAAGAGAAAGACAGAGAGAGAGAGAGAGGAGAACGTGGATGCTAGAGATCAGGCTGTTATTTAGTTAATGACTATTCTCTCGCTCGTAGGCGCTGCCAGCAGTGCGACCAGCTTGGAATACAAGATCGTGTTTGAGATGCTTGGCGTGCTGCTGCTGTTGCTGCTGCTGCTGCTGCTGCTGCTGGCTGCGGCTGCTGCCATCGGTTGTCGCTGGTAACCCCGGGATAGTGGATTCGGACTCTGGACAGTTTCGAGCGTGGTATCCCGGAGGTATACCTTACATTATCGCGTATACGTACGCCGAATACCACAGACCAAGTACGCGCCGTTGCATTGTCATGCGTATATCCTTGCCCCGGCGCTGTTGATAATGCACCGAATGTTTCATTCGCTTAGCGCGCAGTCAGCAAGGGAGACGGCGAGGAATCTTATGCACGTACCGTGGTGACCGCGAGTGCATTTGGACTTCGCGCGGAAGGTCGAAAGTTTCGACTTGTCTACTTTTTTCACCCTTTTGGGCGGGAACGCCTTTCAACCGTTAGGTTGTATCAGCGTGATATTTCTTAAATATTCGTTGCAATCCACGCTTGATCTCGATTAAACACTGAATCCGACACTAGGCGGTTAAGCTCCTTCAAGCGTTGAATTTTTTAAATTTTCTTTAGACGGGAAAATATGTGGGACGAGGGCCGGGATCGAACCGAGGACTCTACCGTTACTAATCACTCGTGTTAGCACAGAGCTACACGTCGTCCCCTCGTTTCTTGTCCAGGTTTGTCCACTCACGCCGGCAGGTGAATACAATTTTAAGAAACATGACGATAGTATTGCCTGAGAATTCGATGGCACTCGCGTCGAGGACAGTTGAGACGATTTCGTTGGCGTTTGTTGCATTATATTTACCGTGTGGAGAGAGAGAGAGAGAAACGTAATTACCACGCGTGAGAATAAGTACAAACCATCGTATACAATTTGTTCTTATCGCTGCGAATAAATCAAGTTTCCCGAGAGCTATTTAATCTGGAGGTTGTTCGCCAAATTTAGGAACGTGAAAGCTGTTCGTGCAGCAACGACATAAACTGTTACCCTTTCTATAATCACGACGAACCCGGATGAACTTCAGAATCCTCTCGAATTATATGAATCGGCATGCACCTATCGATTCCCGATTTGTTCCCGTTTCTTTGTCGAAATCTGTTTATAAGGCGTACACAGCGGCGGCTTACGCCGTGCACGCGGATAGGGATTTCGCGGAGGCAGGCAGGGAGGGTGGGAAGGGTCCAGGGACGACGAGGGGGACGCGGGGAGAGAGAAAGGTGCGAGATAAAAGTAAACGCGGGTAGATGCATGACGATGGGAGGAGAGGGCAAACGACGGCAGAGCGGGGCACTAATATCGGAACATCGACGGCCCAGTCGACTTGGGATTCGAGCGAGCTGGATGTTTAATTAGGAGCCAACGAAGGCAGGATCCGTAAAGGGACGCTAGGGGGGGGGATTTGCGAGGGAGTACGAGTGGGAAGGCGCGGAGAGATGGAGGAATCCGCGATGCGCAAGGATAGGAATATCTCTGTGTATAGGTGCTTATAGCTATATGTACAAGGGTGTATACGTGAGAGCGGGAGTGAGAGAGTGAAAGAGAGAGTGAGAGTGAAGGCGAGAGAACCCCTGTCGTTTCCTCCTACAGCTTATCCACCTCCATTACTCGATGGAGCTGGTGAGAGGAAAGAGACAGAGAGAGAGAGAGAGAGAGAGAGAGAGAGAGGGGGTGGGAGGGAGAGAGAAAGGGAGAAGGAAAGGGAGGAAGGAGGAAAGAAAGGAAGAATGGCGAGAGCGAGAGAAACGCAGCGCAGACGGCCAAGGAATTGTCTGCGATTTTGTTTTACCTCTCGCGGCTACCTCTCGATCGCATTCATCGATTTCTCACACTCCGCGCTTTCTCCGTTGCTCCGCACGGTCGTTAACCGAGGTCTCCTCCTATGTCTCCACCGTCGGAAAGAGACGGAAGCTGTGTGCGAAAGAACGCAAAGTGGCCTGAAATCTTGGTGTGCGCCTCGTTGAGTTACAGCCGTTGTGCAGTTACAGCTTGTGCCGCTGCTACTACAATCTATCCCTACAAAGGGCTGCTGCACGTTCGCGATTCGGATGTTTGGAGCTGCGGCAGACAGATAAACTCTTGGAATTAGTTCCCCGTACTACTGCGCTCGCTTACGTACACGCGAACGTGCGAATTATCGTTCCAAGCGTGTTGCACGGAGACATCGGCCAGTCTGCTGTATGAGAAAAACTTTTTTAATATGCCGCCTTCGTCTCTAGCGGAGCGTCGATACGACGCGGGTGATATGTATTTTTGATAAAGTTATAACTTTGATATATCGATCGTTACTCCCCACGAGGAAATATATTGAATACCGCCTCCGCGCGGAAACTCCTAATACTGTTAGGTGTCGACACCAATAAATGGTATTACAAGTTTCCATACGATTCAATTATATTTTAAATCAACGCGAGTAAAAGTTTAAAACGACGACAGAGGAGAGCGGAACGAAGGGAGGCGAATTAATCGGAATTGCGATTAAACGGGCCACGGCGGGCATTATTAACGCAAAAGTAATAATAAAAATAATACGTATAAAAAGCAATACCCATCGGTAGGAGCGTAAGAGGATTGGTGACTTAGCAGACAGCCACTGCCGTCATTGTTTCAGGATTGGATTTAGTGTTTCGAAACCTATACTGTTTTTCATTCTCCAGGAAAATGTATGAATCGTGTTATAGAGGCTTTGCGAGTGTGCGGCTAATGGCTGCGGAGAAGTTCCGTCTACCACCCTAAATCTACTTCTCCACCGTCGACTCGCATGGGCACACATAAACCGCACACCGATATCGCGCTATCGATGTGCGTATGTTAGTTCGTCCACGCACGTCCTCGCACGCGTGACTCGGCGTACACGTACGCGTGCACGGATTCTGCTCATACCTACCGCGCGCCACTTTGCACCCACACTCTTAGCTCATCGACACAAATCTCATTCCACGACGGAAGCTCGAAAAAGAGATTAACGCCGGCCACTTTCCGCGGAGTCAGTTTTAACTTTCTCGATGGTTCATCTATTAAAACGATTACTAACGACAACCGAGCGGCCCTAGAAAGGGCTTAAGCTCACCGTCACCGCAATTGTATTGTCCGGCAACTTTTACCCGATCACTGTTGCTGTTTAATTCAGGAGTAACGCCAATCCGAAAGGATTTATGTCTATTTACAAAAAACAAGATTATTCACTTTTCGCATTAGCTGTCCATAGGATAAATGCAATTTTTTTTTTAAATCGTATAATCCTTCCTCGGCTTTAACTTATCGTTAGCCATGAATCTAAAGTTTTTTTTCGCATCTTTACAATATTCCGCAATAATGTGTTCGTAGAAACTTTTATTGCGCGCTAATTTTGTAACTCTGATATTTTTAATATTTCTATAAAATTGTTTACTACGGTAAATTTTAAAAAATATACACTCGTATGTTTTACGATCGTTATCTTTCTACTGATATGTGGAATTCATATAAATATCTAGCGCGTCTATTTTCCCATACAGGGTGTAACACAAAATTTACATGCACAAAAGTTTTCAATAATTGAAACACTATGGCAACAGCACATTCCTGAGACTAAATCAAGTAAAAAAGTCCTGTACTACTTTTCCCTCCGGCAAGCAGTTATCGAGATATCATGAGTTAGCCATTCAAAAACTTATAAATTTTCTCATGAATATCTCAAAAAGTATTAGGCAAATCAAAAAATGCTTCGGACAAAAGTTGTTCACATTAATTCGTAGAATATTGGTCAAGTCAATGGCACCACCTTATGTCCCCCTTCGAACCAAACAACTTTTGTTCGAACGTTTTTCCGTATCTTTCACATTTTTGGAGATATTTGCGTGAATCGTTTAAAACGAGACACCCTGTATATATTTTTTATATGTTCGAATGTATTTTTATATTTATTAGAGAAAATAGTTTGCTAAATAAACTCAAATCTATTACAGATTATGAAGATTAACGTATTTGCAATTAATTGTTAGATTGTTATTATTATAATACAACGTTATCCCTCAGATTATGCACCGATTCGACGTAACGTTTAACGCGGCCATGAAAAAGAATGGAACGATTATGCCACAGTTCCAGGACCTACGTCAAGTTCTCACAAACGTCTACGTAGATTATCAATTATTAAAAACACGTGGTCGCGTTACACACTGAAGCTTCTCTCTCATCTCGCCGTTTTATTCCACGAATCTCTGTCGCGACTCCATATTACCAACTCTCATGAATCCAATCTGAGAGTACTATCGTTGTTTTTAATGACATGAATTCCACGTGACTTAAGTCGTTGAAGCTTGAAAATCGCGCGGCGGTTTTACAAAGACAACCAAACGTTAGGCAGAAGCAGATACGTAACTTTACTATGTGAATTTCATTCTAATGGAAGGTGTATTTATAAATACTCGTCTGCTTTAAAACGCTTACAATACTCTTCCTGTTGAAAAATATAAACTCGGAAACGATAGATTAATACGATTTAGAAACGGCTATTTTAGAAAGCGTCGATATCATAGAAGTCGATCTCGAATGCTATCACGTAAAGAATCAAGATATTTATTTTATTTTTGATCCTCTAAGCTTCGAAGAACGAAACGTTACTTGCCTCATTTACCATGAAACGTTATATTTATCACGTAGGTATAAAACTCGGGAGCAATATTTTACGAATATATGTAATTGCGTTCTGAATTTAGAAGTCTAAATTTATATAAACTATTCTGTACTACACAGTTGGAAAATTTGTTTTCTTGTTAAAACAAAATGCCGGTTAAAATTTTTGTGTTAAATGTTCAACACATTCATATCTTAATTTAACATATTGCTCTTGTGTTAATTGACCTCTCAAATGTAAAATTATTGAAATACCGAAAAGAAATGTTAAAACAACACAATGTGTACTTACTTATTTTTTCATCTGACACAATAGTAACAAAATTTATCTGTTAAAATTTACAGAATAAAATATTGATTTTATTCTATATCACATAAGTGTGAGTGATTTCGAACCGTTATTTGACTTATTACATCTGTAAAATGTAAAAATTCATTTTGTTATTGAAAATGTGTTAATTTTACACAAAATTTATTTCAAATTATTTTAAGATTCACATTAATTTTGTGTTAAAATATTAACAGAGTATTAGTGTCATCATTTAACATATTTATAT